TTGGTGAATTTAATCCATAATATGAACTTAATTTTAATAAAAACAGTTATGTTATAATATAAATTGCACCTAAATATTTTGAGGTTTAGGATAATAACAATTTTAATTATAAAGTTGAAAAATTGAGAGTATGTGCCAAAGACAAAATCTTGTTGCTATTGCTTACCTCATTTATCGCATGACAATTACAGTTTAAATATAAATAATTATTGAATTTAAGTAATTGAAAAAGGTTTTTACAATATTTAATATATATTAATAATTAAAAATTAAGAATACTTTAATTTTATAGATCGAGATTTACTCTTTGCCTGTAAGAACTATAATTTTGGAAAACTTAATTATTTTCCAACATCAACGAGAAAGCTAATTAGTCAACTACTCTTGGCTGAATAATATCTTACCTATAAGCATTCGTATATATATATTATGATCATTTAAACTTATTTTTCTTAAAGTAGTTAAGATTTGAATTATATTATATTAGATCAGTTAATATTATTAATAAGTAATAAATTAGAAACATAATTGGTGTTCTACTTTCTTTTATCAATAAATACTTATTACTAAAAATATATATTAAAGAATAAAAGTAAATATGAAAAAATTCAGATTTAAATTTATTTTATATCAATGAATGGTATTGTGAAATTGAAACATTATGTAGTTTGTTTTGGGCATTCAAATCTTTTTCTAAATTTAACAATTTTTCCTAAGTTTCTTTATTCTCAACAAGAACCATCTTTCTTCAAATAAGGACATAACCAAAAAAAATCAGAAAAACTAGGAATAAAATAATTATTAAAAATAAAAGGACTTAATAAAAGCTGAAGGGCTTAGGACATTAAGTTTCAATTGAATCTAAATCTAGACTTATTTAATTATTAATAAACATACCCTCCTTCGCATTAAGTTAATTTAATGTATCCTTATGATTTAATATATGTTGTGCCAAATTAACATTAATTGAAAATATTCCCAATAGGCAGACAATCCCCTCCTTCTAATTAACTAGAATAGCCTGTAGCACATATCCAATCTTCCCTTTAACAAGGACAAGGTTCAATAATTTTGTTTTTTATCATATCTTTGGGATTAAAACATTCTTAATTTAATTTCTTCCTATAGTATTTCGTTCTAGAGCCATCAAAATATTAAGAATTTGAAATATCACAATCTAATTTGAAATTGCAATCTTTTGAAAAGATATCTCTAAAATCTAATTTTAAAATGATGCCTTCCCCTTTGGTGTTACCATGAATTAGAAAATCCCTAGCTGTACCAGTAGTTTCAGTCACTATATTTTAGGCCATAAAGAAATCATGATAGATGATTTTAGTTTTCCATGTTTTACCATAACCAATAGAGTAAATGATTTCGTTGGTTGGTTCATAATCTTTGGCCATTACAATAACTCCTTCACAATCTGCTATTTCAAAAACATGAGGCCTTTTTCTCACTTCAATCCAACTCTAGCCTCTTGTGAGAACATATATGTATTTTGTTCTTATGTCATAAATTATCCAATCTTTCCAATTCCTAAAATTATACCAAGTGCTGAATTTATTGTATATATTGTTTAACTGTAGGAATCTGTTCTTCCAATCAAATGCAAAGAGCATTCTTCTCCACATTCTAATATGTTTCCTTCAAAATCATATTTTGGAGCTTTTATGGATTCCCATTTAATTCCTCCATTACAACTAATGACTGTTGATTTATTCTTTTAATGACTTGAATCATATATATTTGCAATATAAGTTGAGGTTAATCCCTACAGTTTTCAAAATCACTATTTCCATTTTATAATGATCTAACATTATTTGTCAAAACCATTTAAAAATCTTTTCCTATTTGATTACTAATATAAATATTAGTTTTTGATTATTCTTATTATTAGTGAGAAACAGATATGTATATTCTACCATTTTCATCATCCAGAACTGTATACAAATATTCTTTCAAATATATTTGCAATGGTAACTCTATTAATTTTTTTTGGAATTCTTCCAGTTTAGAATGACTAGAATGTAAACTATAGCCTCCATTATTATTAGAGGGTGCTAAAATGAATAAATATTTCGAGGTTTAATAGAAACCTAATACACCATTCATTAAAGTATGATAATTAGTAAAATCTACAGAGTAGATCAATTTAATTTGATTCTCATTAAAAAATAATACTATGGACCTTTCAAATGGAACATTAATGAATCCTATGAATTTATCCTATAAAGCTTCTTTACAATTCTTAAATGATGGTAACCATGTTATTGCTCCATCTTTAGAATAAAATAATTAATTATTATATGGCTCTCTACAATCCAAGTCAAAATGTTCACATTATTATTTTTTAAATGCTAACATTATTTTCCAGCTCCTCTTATTTAATATAAATTGATAGTAACCATCTGTAAAGAATTCTTCGAAATTTTCACCACAATCATTTGTTCTAGAACTCCTCTAACCTTATTACCCAAATAAATATAGAACACTTGAATCTGCAGGGGAAATCTAAATATCTTCGAATAAGCCCTCAATCTAATTCCAAACAGTTCCGTTACTTTTATATATGTGATGTGCCTCCTTTCTTAATGATTTAGTTTGATAATCTACCAATAATTTTTTTAGCTCCCTATTATTTGCCATAGGAATAGCCTCATCGTAAATCAACTCTTTATATTATTTATTTCAGCTAATATAATCTTTAAGGTCAATTAGGAAATTACATACTATCAATCTATTAAATTCTTTAGTAAAAATCTTTTTTCCTTTAGTATAAAAAAATCTTAAATTTATTTCTTGATAACAAATATAAATATGAATAGACTATCAAAATTGATTTCAAAAAGATTGAAATAAAAATGTGTCATTTCTCCTTTTATAAAGTCAAATCTCTCTAAAATAATATTTTGATTTTTTTTGACAGATATATATAAAGGCTTACCAAAAATTTATTATAAAATTATTCGAACCTTACTTAAATCAAGAATGGAAAAGGATTATTTATTTAAAAAATCTTTTTAACTTTTTTACTTCAAAAGCAGCGATCATGTAAATAATAAAAGTTAATAAATTGTGGATGACAACAGTTCTTTATCAATAATAATTAGTTTTCTATATGAATTATATAAATAATTTTCTCTTAGATTAAAATGAACGATATTAAATAAGCATTAATTGAAAGTCTAATTTATATATATTAATTCTTTTATTTATGATGTCACTTGAATTTTTCTAGCTTAGTTAAGAAATGTTAATATTTCTGTTATAAGAATGTTTCTCTTAAGCTTTTTAAATACCTCCACAAATTAATAGAAAGTGGAATAGATAAGTTTTATTAATCAATATTATTTATTCTTACTATAATTTAAGTATGAGATTGAAATATATCAAATTTAATAATTTTAAAAATATCTCGTATTTCCTTGCTTGATTTATCAATAAGTATTTTATTAAAAATACTTAATCTCTGTTAATATTCATTTGTTTTATCATAAACCTTGCTTAATAAAATCCAATACCTTATATAGTTTTTGATGTACTGAAAATATGAAGGAGGATTTACTTATTATTAGCTTCTTAATATTACTTCATCACAGTATCTAAGATAGAGGAATTTGAATTTTCTGTCAATTTTGTCTATTTATTCATTTGAAGAGTTGAAAAATCCAATAATTAAATGATTTAATTCAACAAACTGTTTTCATAAAAATGGGCAGGATTTCAAATATCTATAGAGTCTGATTATAAGAAAAAGAATTACAATAAGTCTTTTAATTATATAAATTATAAATATAAAATTCACATATAGAATATTCATCAATATTTCCAAGAAGATCTTTGGATTAGTGAGCCAAAAAGTTCTTATTAAATAGAATGAATAATAAGTAATTATATTTTATCTATATGAATGAAGGTGAAAATAATTATAGACAATGAAAATTTTTAGATTAACACAAATTAACAAAGATTATGAGAGTTAATCAAAAATAAGAGAGAAAACAAAAAATAAAGATTATATGGTTAGAATTCCGATTGCTTGGTTTCTGAAACTCCTGAAATTTACTGTGAATAATTATTAGGAATCGAAAATTCTATAAAGTTGTTTTTATTTAATTAATAATGAGACACAACAATTATAGACAGAATTTTAGAATATAATATCACAAAAGTATTGGCTAATTAAGCTAAAATATAAATGAAAAGGTATAATTTTATACGATTAAGTTTCACTCAATGATAAAAGACTGGTCGTGCTATTAATAAATAATAGTTAATCTATTCTAACGAAGAATTCATTAATGATTTAAAAGAAGAATTGGATACATTAGAATTCATTTTGAAAAAAGAATAGATGAATTATGAAAGATTGGCGATGCTGGTTTTACTATTGATGGTGATATTAATAAAAAAATTAAACCAACTTTCATTTAAGTATAACTTTTAGCTTAATTTAAATTATGGAATTTAATAGAATTAAAGAATGATATGTTATTTTTTAATTTTTTAAGGTTTTTGGTTGTTGTTATGTTTATTTCATAAATAAATAATTATTTAGATTTTAATTAATTTAATTTATGAAATCAAATAGAAGCAAAAGCAAAGATTAGGTTTAAAAAAATGTCAAATGTAGAAAGTTTATTATCTGTAGTTATAGAAATCGAATAATAATCTTGGTAAGAGGGATTATACAGAGAGGAAGGAGTTATATTTAGAGAAAATAACTTACAACCAATAAATTTTTTGTGGAATAGACAAAAGATAAATAGATAAAATATATTGTGGATAGAAATGTATTGAGAGAGTAATTTATCATTCATGAATAAATTAGATAATAAATCATTGACGTTAAAGTTTAGCCTGAAATAATGAGAAACTTAGAATAAGTCAAATATCTCAAATGGGAAGGAGAGTTAGGAATGAATAAAAAAAATGGAATGCTTTTTGGAGAGGAACTAATTTACATATTGGAGGAGAATAGTTTATTTTATTAGGGTAAAAAATGGGAGGTGGATTGAAATACATGAAAATTATTTTAAGTTTTTGAAGTATTTAACAATTAGTCTATGAAATATATAATATTTGGGATAATATAATAATGGAAAGAAATAAGGAAAATGGATCATTTAATTTAAATATATAGACTATTTTTAAGAATATTAAAAAATGTAATATGAATATAAACTTATTTTAGAGGGGGAGGATCATATGATGTAAATGAAATAATGATGGGAAGGTGAATTAAATTAAATGACAATTTTAAAGAGTATAAATATATAGGAATAATAGCACATCCTAAACTATTTTGGAAGGTGACTATGTTTAAGGGAAAAAATAAGGAAAGTGGACAATCAAATTTAGATTAAATGAAAAGAATAGATTTAAAATATTCTATTTATCTGTAGAGGGATATTTAGAGGAGGAGGAGCTTATGATATTCAAGGAAGAAAAAATGGCAAATGGAGAGATACAAATCATAATTTCTAGATATAAATTAATAATTTTATCCTTTACAATTATAGATAACTAAATGATTGATGATGGAGAATATAAAAACGGAAAAAGAAAAGGGAAATGGATAGCAAAGTACAGGTATCAAATAAATGAACCTTTTACTTAAATATAATAGTTTTATTTATATTTTAAGTGGTGAGGGTATTTATGATGATTCAGAAATAAAAAATGGAAGAATGGGAAGAAATTTTTTAAAACTTTCAAAAGTAATAAACTTAAACATATTTTAATTAGTTCATGCAAAGTGACTTTGGTTAGAGATTATTTAAAAGGAAATAAAAAAGGGAAATGGTATATTTCATAAGATATTAGGAAAAATAAAATTTTATATAAATGTTTAATATTTTTTATAAATTTAGTGGTGGAGGAACTTATGATGAAAAAGGATTTTAAAATGGTTAATGGTCGGTATTAACTGATAATTTTAAAATGTAAACTTTTTTCTAAAAGCAGTTCAAATTAAATAATTCTGAAAGGAAATTATTTATATGGTAAGAAATTAGGCGAATGGGATACACTTTATAAAAAGAATCCACAATTAGAGTTTTAAATTATGTTATACTTAATTTTTTTTATTTTTTCTAGTGCAGGAGGCCTTTATGATGAAAATAGTTTCAAAAATGGTAATTGAATTGATTTGGATTTTCGTTTTGGTTTTGGGCAAAATTAAGTAATTTTAAAGGGACAATATAAAAATGGTTTTAAAATTAATCAATTTTAAGAAGAGATTTCAAATAATGTCTGATGATTATAAAACATGCATTAAATTAAGCAAGATAAAATAATTTTATAAGCTTTAACATTTAAAATCATTATCATATAAAGGATCTAATTAGAATTTGTATCAAAATTTCCTTAATATATGATGGTTTTGTGAAAGGGAAGATACTAATTCTTTTATTACTGTATTACAAAATTTCGAGCTTTTCTTATGCTAATAGAAATAAAAATGAAGGTTTTTTACAAAATTTCATCAATTCCAAATCTAAAAGCATCATCATTAAATTTATTGATATTTTAATATATATTTGTTAAATGTATTAAATCAAAAGGAAAGACTCAGATTCTCTGGAAGCTTTCTAAGTGGAATGGCTCGAACAAAAGATAGGAGATAATTGTCTATCTATAACATTATTATATAGAATAGTAAATAAGACAGACAAATCCTATTTTGATTTTCTTGTTTACTATTCTAATATAATAAACTAAGCCAGCTCATTTAAAATAGTTTGCTTTGAATAAAATTAGCTAGCGAAAGAGGTCTAAAATCAATTAGCTATAATAAGGAATAATGCATATCAAGAAATTTAAATAATAAATCCATAAGAATTTTTATAAGAATGGCTAGCAAAAAATTAAGCAGCCCCATTTTTAATTACATTCTTGATATCAGAAAGTTAAAAAAAATTAATCTTATCAATAGTATAACAAGCTGTTGAAATTGTTAATTTTTTTAATTCAATTTAAGAATCGAATTTAGATGACTTATATGAGAAAACTATTAAATTTGTTAAAACTTTAGAAAGAGTTTGATGTATTATTTTTTTTAACAAAGTTTGTTTGTTTTTCGATAAATTAATGTCCTGAATATTAAAATTTTTCTTCTCAATTAATATTTACATATATACTATCTTCTCATCAAGATGAAATATTCATATTTAAGATATATAAAAATTTATCATAAAAACCAATTATTATCACAAATTTTCGAATTAATCAGGTATAGCTTTTTATTTGGCTCACTTACTAAATAAAATTTTAAACTTTGTTAAGAAACAGATTATCTTTCCTATTCATCTTGAATTATATTTGAGAGAGTTGATTCTAGAAGAAGAACAAAACAATATTCAAATTTAAGAAAAATTTATTCATGTATATATTTAAAAACAAATAGTTAACAATTAAAAATTACAGTAAGGAAAACTGATAAGAAAATAGAAATTTGCTAGAAAGAATATTTGCTAAAGTCTATTAATTAAAGTGTACAAAAGAGCATATATTTATGATAGATTAAGTAAATAGCTAAAAAGTTTGAAGAAGAGAGAGAATATGAGGAATAATTAAAAATTTAATAGAGAAAAGAGACTTCAATGTAATCAATCATCTTGCTGATAATTGATGCATTATTCTTGTAGACTCTAAAATAGATTTTAATTGATTATTTTTGGAAAAAAATGGGAAAAACTTAAGATAAGGCTTTAAAATGTCACAATATTAGAAGATACGTTTGGATAAAATCTCTATACCTTTCAAAATCAATTTGTTTGTATAAAAATTTAGATACGAAAATTAATCAATAAGAAAATTTTGGAAGAATAATTTTCAAACATTAGTTGGAATCATATATATTGTTGATACAGCAGATTCTATAAGATAAAAGGAAAGTTGAAATGAACTTGAATAAATATTAAATAAAGCAGAAGTAACAAAAGTATAATATTATTTTATTTACATTTAAGCTCCGATTGTAGGAATTAATTTTAAATAAGAAATTAATAATAAAGGATGGTGGAAGACCATTGCTGAAATTTTGTTTTAGTTTAGTAAACACAATGGCTATCGTCATCCTTTATTATTAATTTATTCGTTTACATATTTCTTCTTTCATAAACTAACCTTAACTCAATTATTTTAAATGATTGATGTTTTTCTTTATTTTCATAATTATTGCCTTTACAAAGATTTAACATTTTTTATTTCTGATGATACATTCTAAATAATTGTTTTTTGCATTATGATTTTTTACAATAGCATCTCCAAATAGTAACTTTATCAAATAAATCATCATCATGTTTATACTCTATAATTTCACTTTAAATTTCGCTACAGTCTATTTTCTAGTTATTAATAATAAAACTTAATATTTAATTTTTTGATAATATTAACTTGATATAAAAATGTGAAATAAAATCAATGTAATACTAAAGGACGAATTAAAAGCCTAAGTATATTATTTAACTTAATTTTAAATCCTAATTTGTAAAATTATCTGAACATAAATTAATAAATAAAATTTGTTATATATAAAGAATTCTCTTTATAGTTTACAGTAATTTTAAGATCTAATAAATTTTAGAATAGAGAGGTTAAATTTAACATTTAAGCTTTAGCTAGATTTTAAAAGTCAGAAAGATAAAGAATTAAATTTTTTGAATTATAGTTATCTTAAAAAGGGACTATATAATTTTATATTAGTAAACTTACTCCTTAATTTCTTTATAGCAAGAAATTTAATTAAATTCAATAAGTTTATAATAGTTAATGAATAGTATATTAGCTCCAACTATACAAGATATTCTAAATAAATATAATATTCTCATTTGTTCAAACTTTTAATATTTATTAAATTATTTATTGATTCATAAATGTACGAAATTTAACAATAAATATTTTGATATCATTTTTTTAATAGTCATTTTTATTATATATAAATA